GCTACTAATTTTATTTCTTAATAAAATATTGAAAGAGGAATCAACAATATCATGGTGTGTGCCAGGCACTAAGTGCTATGCATAATAGTTCATTAAATCCTCACCACCACCGTATGAGATATAGTCCATTATTATCTCCATTTTACAGTTAGGAAACTGGGGGACAGAAGGCTTAAGTAATAGACCCGAAGCCATAAAACCAGTGACAGAGTTGGAATTTGAACCCAGGCAATCTGGCTTCAGAGTCTAGGTGTTGGACCACCGTCCTCTGGCCTCTCCTTGACAGCGTGACAATCAGTAGTTGAGAACTGATGATAATAGAGATAATCCAGTGGTAATGTGATGACAATCACGATTCACTTCGAAAGTCTGCAATCCCATTATCTTTTTCTGGGGTGAAAAATGTCAATCCTGAATCAGGTCTTCTGGCATTTCCATAAGCTCTCTAGGGCCGGGGATTCCTAACTCTTTTCAAAAGAGGTGAAGAAAGCAGAGAGGAGTCCAGAAACCGTGAGCATTGGGGAAGCAGAGGAAGAAACCCCAGGGGTCAATTTATAAACATTATTTGAGCTGGGGTGTTGCTGGCAGAGAGCGTAGCCAACCTTATCAAAGGTGTCACCACTGTATGTTATCCCCAAGCTACCAGTGTGCGTGGTGTCATAGAACAGAAGGAAACTGGACTTGCCTCACCCAAATTATAAAGTAGGTTAATACTTGAAGGCCAGAAAGTGCAGGTATGGTTCTCTCCAGTTCCTCTGTATTCCATACCGGGGAGCTCCTGCCACCTAGTGTCCACATAGAAAATGTCAAGTGTTGGGAATCATCAATCCTGTCCCTCCACAGGTCCAGCTGACAACTCATTCACCAAGTATTTAAAGAGGACTCATCCCAATGGCCCTCTCACTTTCCTCTCAGGTATCTTCCCTCCTATCAGAAATAGAAAATAGTTGAGATTATTAATCCTTGTGGATTACTTTAGCTACAATAAATTTTAAATCTGATGGTGTTTGAAATTTGTTTTAGCTTTCATTTTAAGGGTATAGCTTTCTAATGGAAATTAAACATGCTCAGGCTTTGGGGGTTGAAGTAGAGGCAATAGGACCTTACAGTTGCCCTGGAAATCACGAATTGGACAATCTGTAGTCTCTTTCCTCCACAAGCCTTCTCCAGGGATGCTGGGCAGCAACTGTGAAAGGCCTGTTTCAAAGACCTCGCAGTATTTGTCTGTAGAGCTGCCCCTCCTCTGGACTCTCAAAGCCCGAGATGCTTACCCTGCTGAGTACTTCTCTCTGTACAGTCCTCACCAATTGACTCATCTTTCTCCTTTTCTAGATATGTGCACACCTCCAGCGCAGAAATCATATCTAATTCTACTAGCAAATAGCAGAAAGTGTCTATTCAATGAACCCTGCAGAGAAAGTATGTCTGCTATTAACTTGTAGTTCGTAGCCCCCAAATCAAGCTGAGCCTTCTTGGGTAGGGATTTCCCTAGCTAGCCAGCCATTTCCTCTAAGCCTTAACCTGGTCTCTTCTTGACCTGGGCACAGTCAGCTCTCCTGCCTCCCACCTTCCTCTCTCGGCCTCTCCTGCCCCTCTGCCCTGAAATTCCCAGAGGCTGGGTGTGCAGCACTATGTATTGTGCCTGTTTCCTCCTCTTCACAAACTCCCTCAGCGAGCTTTGTCCTACTCTATTCTTAAAGCAAGCTAATTATGCCCAGTGTATTTTAATCTTTTTTTTTTATACTCCTCTGTTAGGTTAACAGGGGAACAGAGTAAATCTATTTGTTTGTATCTGCTTTGGAACAATTTATACCATCAGGGTCTTGCTTCCCAACTCTGGCACCTGGGATGCTGGTTTTGAGATGTAGGTGGCTGAACAAAAAGGAATGACATCTTTCATAAAATAAAATAATGAGTCCTTGGAGGTTTGAGAAGATGGGAGCTTCTTAAGGCAAGTGTCAGGTAGAAAGAGATGTCTGGACAGGTGGCGACAGCAGTCTTCTCCAGGCGCTCTTTCCTCTCCACGTTTGCTCGTGCTGATCACCTCTCTCACCACTGTGTTGGCCCCCAGGGGTATACACTTCTTTCTTCAAAACCCCCCCGCTCTTTGGTTCTTGGTTCTCAGTACTATGGAGGCCTGCTGGGCTTTTCAAAAAGGCTTTACCAGCATGAGCCAATGATTACCACTGGGTGGAGAAATCGTGGATGATCATTTTCTTCTTTACACTTTTTTTGGGTTTACTGATTTATATATTACTTTTATAATCATACTAAAAATGACACTTGACAAAATTCAAACGGAAGCAAGTAATGAAAATATAGCTAAGCATGGAAACAGCAGGTTTCTAATTCTACCACGGCCAACTTGTCTACACAGCTCATTTGCTCCCCAGGCTCCTGTTCCATTCCACATCATTTTTGAGGGTCCTGCCAGAGCAGCTCACTCTTTCATTTTCAAGTGATATTCCTCTTGATAGCTTGCAGAAGACCTCACTGAGAAAACAATGCATGGAGTATGGAACTGACTGCTCATTGAGGGTAAATAATCTGATATACATCTTTAGGTAGATATCAGCATATAAAGAAATCATCTAGCCTCGGAGGCCTCCCCACTGACTTCCACCTCAACTTCCCAGGGATAGAGGAAAAGGTTATGTTTTCCCTGGGGTCAAGTTAAATTTGAGGTTAAAGGCTGTCCAAGTGACCAGATGGTGAACCCTGGGCCAGGTGGGTGGGTAGGAACCCCTGTTAGTAAGGCATCAGGTCATTAAGAAGAACTTCAAAAGCTATGTGATTGTAGCTTTTAAAGAAGAATTTGATGCTGATCTTGAATGCTAGAGCTTTAACCAAGGCAGAGGAGAAGAATGTCGACGTTTGCTCTGGCTGCAGTTCAGTGGCACTAATTGCACTCGTGTTTACACAAACTGCTTACCCTTTCCGCTACGTACAGTGCATTACAATTATTTTCAAATAATTAAATGTCACTGAGTTATTTAATTATAAAACTAAACTGTCGATACGCTCAGCACGACAGCTTTTGTGTGTGTGTCACAGCAGGTGCCCGCTTAAGCAGCTTGGGCGCTCGCTCCGAGGGTGATGTGGAAGGCGGTTTCCCCCCGTGAGCAGCCCCGTGTGGGAAGACTTGTCTGCTTCCTCCTCCTCTTTGACGGGATCAGATCCAGCTGACGATGCCTCAGCTATTAAATCAACCCTAACTAATAATGAGAAGCTACTTTAAAGGATAAATCTAAGGAAGTTTGTTTGCTAAGTTGGGGGGAAAGGTTTCTCTGAAGAGAAGCTGGCGATTCCTCTTTAAACTTGCTTTACTTGTCCTGTATCCCCTGGTTGAGGCCAGGGTTCTACAACCATGTTTGCTCCTCAGAGGCATAGTTGTGGTTTGTGGCATTTTGATTAAAAATACGTTCTGATTATTCCCTCCTGTCTTTTGCCCCCTCCCACAGTATTGCCATTTCTCCAAGAGTGTTTAAGGTTAGGAAGGATTTTCCATGACCTCACCTTCACATGCTGGAGATGATCTAGTTTAGTTTGTTCTTTTTCACCCATTTTCTACTCACTCTCTGGTCAGCAGGGGATAATTTCTTCTTTTGACCAACCAACCACCGTAACAATAAACCACCTGTTATCCTTCAGCCTCCGTCATCTGGGGTCCAGAAGGCATCTTTAAATTCCATTACACATTAAAGCCTTTACTGCTATGAACTACTGCCTAAGTAAATCATTAACAAAAAAGATCTGAAAAGTTTATTAGTAAGAGAGAATCTGGGAGACTTGCCTATACATGAAAGAGGTAGAAAAAATAAGTTTTTTATTAGCATGTTCAAGGTAGGCAAGGTTTTAACAAACATCTTAATCCTCACAACAACCCTGTGAGGTAGGTAAGTTCTTGTTTCATGATAAACCAGTATTATTCCAAATAAAGTGCAATTCCTAAAAGAATAAATCTGCATTAGAAATATTTTTGTTAACAATACCATTTATGTATATGCTAATATTTGTATTTTTGTAAACTTTGAGTCATATAATAAGGTGTCCCCAGAAAAATTTACTGTAAATCAATCCTATTTAAATACACGGGGAACTATTTAAATAAATCCTGGGGTGAATTTTTTTGTAAAATAAATCACTATTTTTTGTCATATGTAAAAAAGGAATTTTCATAGTATTTGCTCAAAGTGAGGCATTTCCAGCATCGTTGCACTGACATTTATCCATTCTTCAGTAAGTTATCTCAACATGGCACAGGCTAGTATAAGACTCAATTTTTAAAATTAAACCTTAGCAATGTGGTATATGGCAGTGAACTGTGTTATGCAGAAATCTCCAAATATATTGCACTCAATCTCAACCCCAAACCTAAGGTGGACTGTTTACTGAAATGCAAACACTAAATAAATGGTGATCAATTTCAAAAAGTAGTTTCCCTTGAGAATATGACTTAATTTTTTCCTTTAAATTGCAAAAGGGAGAGAGACCTTCGGGTTTTTGAAAAGAAATATTGTGAGAACTATAAAATTCTAGTGATTTATATTGCAAATCAACTCATGCTATCAATTTACTACTTAAAAGGGAGCCAGCAGATGTTACTCCAAAAATTTAAGTATTTTTTTCTCTGTGCCAATATGACTTCTAGGAAAAGAAATATTCCCAGGCACCCATTTTCTTTTAAATATATATTTAAAGTAGATTTCTATTGTTAATCCAACATTAGTAAACGTCCTGTTGTCTCAAATGTTTTTTATAGTTGTCTTACCTGAAAACAAATTTTTATTAGAGAATTTTCATTACTTTTAATTATAAGAGAAGTGTTTAGATTAGTTATATAATTTATTTGTAATAATAACTTTAATTAAGCTTGGGAGCTTATATAATATTTAAAATCCACTGGCAGGTTTATAAAACTTTAGCAAGTGGTTAAAGTAATTTGCCTTTATAAAGAAATAATTCAAGATCAGAAAAACATTCTCACCAAAGTATTTTTAAAAACTGCTACAAGGAAATTAGGCAAATCAACAGATAAAATAGACTAAGCCATTTATAAGCTGTACATTCAAATCCATACTAGATCCAACAGTGCACTTTGGATTATAGTGAGGTAGGGCAAAGAAATATAGTCAGAAACCTTTGGAACTGTTAAATTTACATAAACTGAAATACTCACTGGTACCCCTGCTTTATTTGGATATCCAAAAAGAAAACTTGAGAATTCGAATGACAAAGTATTTTTTTGGATTCAAAGACAGAATTGTAAAAAAACCTTCCAGGTACATATAAATAAAAAATACAAAAGCTACAAGATATATTTTATTTCAACATAAAATATGCTTGTATAAAAATAACCCAGGATATAGAAAAAAAAAATACAAACATTTTGCATAGATTCTCTATATAAAACATTTACCTGGGGTAAACACTGGAAAATACACCTCTGAAACTAGTGTAGTTGAACCATTTCCTTGGATACCAAGTATATACAAAATAAAAGCCCTTCATCTGGGGAGCATGGGCAGGAGGGAAAACAATGTAATTTAGCATCAGTCTAGATTTATTTCTCTGTTGCTCGAATATAAACCAATGATGACAAGAGGAGAAACTCTGGGGGTTTATTTAACAAAATTAAATTCACATTTCTGAGGCCATCATAGTGCATCCAATGTCCATCAATCTGGAAAGCTGCAGAGTAATGATGTTCCTCTTTGTTAAATAACGTGGCACCTTCCAACAAATACCTGCAGGTTAAATGAAAAGGTGTAGCAGAAAATTACAATACTTTGTTCTTAAGATAAATGTTCCTGAAATTCTTAACTATGGAATAAAAAAAAAATTGAGATTGTTTGCATTCTATTCCCTGAAAAAGACATCCATTTGTAAAAATCATGGACTACAATTGGTAATTTGGAGTAAAATGTTTAATTTTTAAAATTGATATACTTTAAGAATTTTTAAAAACATATTTTAACAGATTAACTCATAACCTGTACGGTTCTATGAAATAAGAGAAAACACACACAAAAAAACTTTTAAAGGCAAAAAGTTAAAAGAATCCTGTATGTCCTAATTTGTGTGCAGATACTTTTATCTATAACGATGATAGTAACATTTTATGTTTAAACGATGACATCATTCTATACACTAGTTTGACCTGAAATAACAGTAAGTATAGACTGTTCACCATGTGTCAGGTACTATCCTAACACCTGACATGTGCCGTCTCACTAAATCCTCACAATAATGGCACCAGATAGATACTGTCACCTCTGTTTTATAGATAAGAAAACTGATGTGTAAACTGGTTAAGTTACTAGCCCAAGGTCACAGCTTATAAAAGGAGGGGCTGGGATTTGAAGGCAATTCTGTCCATCCCATAGTCCAAGCACCAACCACTATACACACTGCCAGCGACTGACCCCTGTAGTAGATTCTGATCTTACTCAGGACACATAAATTTAGAGATAGTTATGATTTTTTTCAACAATATTTCCTTAAGGGTTCATCAGAATCATGATAGAACAGCAGAAAAATATAAAATAAATTTATTTTTTACTAGTTTTATAAAAAAACAAAAAACAACTACCTACTTGTGATCAGATAAATCCAAGTAATAGGGTACATATGCCAGATCTTCAGATCTCCAATGCTGCATATTTAAGACAACAAAAGGGGGTGCCCCGTGGCAGAAAACTCGCTGGGAAAATTCTCTCAAGCCACCACACCTAAAATTGAAAATAGGCATGAACTTGACTACACTTGGGACAAAGCTGCCTTTTATCACTTTTGGCTGATCTTTATTACTTAATTTCATAAGAAGCATAATTATCTATTTTAGGTTTAGGTAATGGTGTCGCTCTATTAAGAGCTTCTATACCTATTCCCAGAAGTTTATAAGCTGTGGGATTCTATATACGAAAAATAATACTTTCAAAACTCGAGGAAAAGCTAGCTATTTTTATCTAAGCTTATAAAAGCATGTAGTCTTTTGAACTGACAGAAAAGCTTTTATTCGTAGATATATTTTTCCTTCTGTAAGTTGGTTTCAAAGGGGAAAACGGCAGAGAGGGGAGTGACATGACTCTTACAGCTCCCTTTAGACTGCAGAAAGTTCCCTAATTGCTTCCTTGTGCCATTAGGATGAAGCAAATTCTGTTTCCTTAGAAGAACCAGGTATTAAGCATATGGAGCAGAATACAACAAACACAATTATACAGTAAAATCTCGATTAACCGGAATGCTCAGGGCACGGAATTTTGGCTAACAAACATTATCGACTAAATTAAGTTAACCAGAAAACCATTTTGTTTCAGTATTTGTTGCTAAAATACATTAGTTCATTTTCTGGACTTAAGTACAATTAACTGAATATATTTTATTCTTTCCTTCTTTTGTGATTAATTAGCTGTAGGATCATCCTTTTAAACATTGATTCTCATTGTATAATACTGTAGCTACAGAAATTGTTAAGAGATTGGGATGAATATGTTCTGCCCTTTTGGAGTTTTTTTTTTTTACTATGTTAATTTTTTTTGGTTGTCATTTACCTCTTTCTCCTAAATGAGGAGTGCAGGAAAAAATCCAGTTAATTGAGGGTCCTGGTTAGCGGGGTTCCGGTTAACCGAGGTTTTATTGTACCTACTCAGCAGTGGGGAGAAAAATGAAAGGCATTTGCTTTGTACTCATCAACTAACCATAGTATTATATTCTTTATTTTTTTTTTTTTTTGCTGAGGAAGATTGGCCCTGAGCTAACATCCATGCCCATTTTCCTCTCACTTTATACATAGGACGCCTGCCACAGCATGGCCTGAGAAGCAGTGCATAGGTCTGTGCCCGCGATCCGAACCTGCGAATGCTGGGCTGTTGAAGCAGAGTGCGCGAACTTAACCACTACGCCACTGGGCCAGCCCCTAATATTATATTCTATATAGTGATAGTTGATAACGACGACACAGCATAAGTTGGCACAGTAAACTAGAAGGTGTTAAGATTCCAAAAAGGTTAGGTTTCCTAAATACTTATGGAGTTGCTATTTAATAAAGTATTAATATCAAAGAGCATATCGGTCCAGGTTTCTTTATAAAAAACACAGAAATACTTTCATCGTAAATGTCTATCATATACTCACCCACGCTCTTCACACAGTTCAATCCTGGAACAGAATAACTCATCCACAGCCAGTCGTATCAAGTTTCCATGTGGGATTTCTTGGGGAGGACTACAACAATTGCAAAACACAGCTAGGAAGTGCTTCAGCATTTTACATGTAAATACATTATCAGGATAACAAACTCTACAGGTCAATTCATTATTAGCAAACCAAGTATAAAAGTATAACCTCTGTTATTCATCTTTGTATTTCCTATAGATAGTATAGAAACAAGATGAACTTAATAATTAATGCATGAAACTTTCCAAGAACATTAAATCTTTCCGTAAATTGACCCTGAAATATGCAGTTGTTTTACTTTAAAAAATTTTTGAGAGGATTCCATAGAGGGGATTCTGGTCTGGTGGGAAGAAAGCAGGACCCAGAATTGGCAGAGCAGCCGATTAGTTACCTGACTAAACGCAGGTTACAGACTTTGCTGGCCTCAGTTATCTGATTTGTTAAAAAAAATTTTTCCCACATACTTCAGAGGTTGTTTTAAATATAGGACTAAAAAAATTAGCAAAAGCTTTAAAAAGTTATATAGAGTATGATGAACAATATTTTATTGAGAAGCATAAAATATTAGTATTAATATAAGATTATATTTCATTATAGTTTCAAAACATACAAATTAAAAGATACTAGTTTTTAAAAAACAAGACAATTTTCTCAAACACTTTTTAGTCCATTATGATTTAGAGTAACAGAACTTTATCCCCTGACCGCAATTTCAAAACCCACATCATCACATCAGCAATACAGGAAAATGGACAAAGTGTACTTCAGAACAAGAGAGATGGTGATCGGTAGACTCCAAAAAGAATACATTATCTTCAGCTTTCCACGAGTACTGTGATGTTATAATATTAAACTAAGTATGCTACAAAGAAACACGAATTTAATCAGTTAGGGTACCTGACGTACATTCCCCAAAGGGAACAATCTATTAGGCTGTTTTTCTGGACCACAGGGTCCAGATACACTTTCCGACAACAATGTGTTTAGGTCTGTTTTTCTATCCTGTTTTTTTCCACTGGCACTCTTCCCCTTTCCAGCTCATGTCCCCCGGGGGCATTAGTGTTTCCCGACACTCCACTAGGGCCTGCCAGTTCGGCCTTCCTCCCTGTCAGTTACCAGCGCGGAGGCCTGCCTTCTCTCTGAAAGCCAGAAATACTCACAGGCTACCAGCACCTTCCTAGTCAGTCACATCCTCGTCCTCTCCAGGTGCTAAGATTCCAAGTTTCGGGTTTCTGTCTATGATGATGCCCTGGCCATGACGTGGGGTGCCTTCAATCTTGTTCACACAGAACTAGCCTACCCGACAGAGACCCATTCAAGGGGTGAAACATTCCTACTATTACTCATTATAGTAATGAGTGTTCTTCAAGAGGCTAAGTTTGTGACACAAAGAATTAATTATCTACGTAGTCATATTAGTAAATTCAAAGCAAGAGTAAAACATTTTGCATACTGAATAATTCATTACTTTGCAAGTGAAATAGTTATCAGTTGGTTTTGTAAAGTAAATTCTAAGATGTTTGGATGTAATAGACTAATATTTTTGTCATGGGACCTACTAGAGAGTCTTGCATTTGTGTGGTTGTTCAATGCGTAAGTAATTACACAGGGTCTGTACTTTAAGAAGTACTTTGACTATATATATATATTTATAGCAATATTCATTTTTAAAAAGTATACTATTTTTGCTAAAAGTGACCAAACAGACTTTGGAGCAACTTACTTTATATTAATTGTGCGCTGCTGATCTTCCTGCACTCGAGTTGGGCATCGCCAGTTGGAACAGTAACTCTCTTGTATGGTAGACATGAGATTTTCGAGATTTTTTGTAAAATTATCATGCTCATTCCCAAACAAATCAATTATCAATGAAACTTTGTGAACTTCAGATTTGTATTGCTGTTTTTCCATCTTGTCCCAAATCCAAAGTAGCTTCACAGTTGTAAAACTGTAGGTGTCCATTAAATAAAGAAAACAGTCTACAAACTCTCGACCTAAATGAAGAGCAAGTTCCCTGGGGAAATTTTCGTTTTCATTAAGAATGACATATAATAACATCAAGAATCCATCTATGGTGCAGGTATTTTTCAGTCTTATTTCAACATAGAGTGGTGTACAGGACACTGCTTTGCGGCCAGCTTTGATAGTAAAAACACCTCCCCAAGGAAGAACAGGCCTCCAGAACGAGCGATCTTGGTTATAGTTATTTTTAATTGATGCTTTGATCTCTTCAAACAGTGTCTTCATCCTGCGTTTTAAAAGTTTAAAATAGAACATGTAAATTTGTGACTTCCTATGTTCAATGCATGAGATATGTTTAAATGAAAATAAAGCTATCTAAAGACTCAAATTAAATTTGGTTAGATGGCCTTCCAATATAACAAAGAAATTTAAAACAATTCAAGCACTGAGGCATTTTTTTGGCAATATGCATGGCCTCTGGAAAGACCATTTAAGAAGCTGCAACCTTTTTTTGAGGTACAGAATGGTCATTTGATAGGCCTTTATATTAATTATACTGTAGATTTTATCTTTGATATAGGAAAACACTGTAATAAAAAAATCCTAAATGAAAATAAAGCTATTCAAAGATACGATCTAAATTTGGTCGGGTGTATTCCTCATGTAAACCTCTTCCTCCCTCCAAAATACAAGCTGTGCTTCATTTTCTTGTTAATATGTGTGGTTCCACTTATAAAACTGATATAATGGAATTCTTAGTTGGGCTACAGAATAATGGCCAATTAGCTTTGAAAGACAACATATGAAGAGCAATTGTGAGAACTTAACTGAATAGTCACACAGCTAATACAAAAATCATTTCTATGCACTTTGGGATTGTTACTTCCAATTTAGGACCCTGCTAGCTATCCTACAATTTTAACTACAGAGGCCATGCTGTGAAGATTGGATTCAGAACTTGGTGGTATCCCAACTGCCTTCTCTGCGTGTTTTGGGAATGAACTGAGTTGTCTTCCCGATTTAAAATGGCACCTATCCTTCTCCTAACGTTGAGGAGAGCTAAGCATTTTGTTTCTAAAGTCATTGACAGTATTCTAATAAACATGTTTGTGTCATATGTACGTTACATGAAGCAAAATTTTAAAAAATTAAAGAATGAGGTCCTAATGAAAGTGATTTGAAAAAATGGCTTTATGTTACTTGAGACAAACATATGTCTAAACTAAAAACAGAGGGTTTCCCAATATATTGCCTTTATGGAAAAGTATATTTTCATGAAAAAGGGAAGCATCTGATGAATGGAGAGAGAAGACAGTGACTGAGGTCAGTGTCTTCTTCTGACTGTCTTTTCTGGTGCCATGTCCTCCCAAGCACAACCTGAATCCAGCACTCAACATTGCAGACCTATGTGTTTTGTGTGAGAAATTAAGTTCAAACCGATTCTGCAATAGTAGCAGACTAAAAATTCAAGTTCTACGATATATTAAACCCATGCACACACAGAGTATTTTCGGCTTGAGGCAAGACACTGTGGAGTCTAAAATATTCAACACTATATTTAGTCTGAAGTGTAGATGTTTATATATAGTCGGTAACATGCTGGCTCTAGTCAAGCACTTAGAAATAGGAGGGTGTCACAAATCTGGAGACTAGGAAAACAAACTCAGTTTCTCTTTCATAGAAAATGACATGTTTCCGGAGCAGATTTTTTAAAAATCATAAGGCATTCAAATACTTTAAAAATGAAGATAACTTTCTTCATGGTTTGATTTATTTCTGTTGGATTTTAAAGAACTTTTGTAGTAAGGTCATAAGAATAAGAGGCTGAATTTAGATTCCTAAATATTGCATTGGAAAGGAACTGTAAATCTCGGTAGTATTTTTCTTCAAAGTATCTTTTAGACACGACCAAATGAAGAGTAAGTATAGCTCTGTAAGGCAATAGTTGTACTCTAAGAGAATTAAACTACAATTTTATATCTATATCCATCTATCACGTCCACATATAGTGAAACTAACTTCCTTAGCCTTTTTCTGAAAAAAAAAAAAAAAAAAAAAGGAAAGAAACGGAGTGGGCAGAGGCGACTGGAAGAACCAGAGGACACTTAACCTAGTTTCAAAGTAAACTGCAATAAAAACGACTAAAAAGAGAATCTGCTGCAAAGAGCTTTACTGCAACTTGTCGTCAGTTTTCGCCAGGCCGTGGGAAAGACCGGATCGGCGCTGTCTGGGGGCCGGGAGGAGGCATCCGCAGGCTCCCTCCTCCTGCCCCCACGGGCCCTCCAGCTTGCACAAACCTGCAAAACTCCCCCGACCTCTATTTCCTCGGCAAAACGTCACCTTCCTTTTGCGGCCATTGCCAAGGGTGACAATCTGCACTCCACGCCGGTCGTGAGCGCCAGACCGCCCGCCCCAGGCGCTGACAGCCGGGCTCCCTAAGCGCTCGGGGCTCCTGAGGGCCCCCCGCGAACCGGCGCCCCGAAACCCTCCGGAGACCGGCGGCGCGGGGCGCGGGGCCGGCC